ACATTCACTTGAGTGACGTTAAATCGTACTTTGGTCAAATATTAAACTCATGTACCGAGTAATATAGTTTTGTCTCGTCTCTTATGAAGTACTCCGTAGAAAAGAAAAGGAGTGAAGTTGTACGGGCTTGTGTATCCGTCACCACAAAAGAATATGCCTCAACAGAAGCCAAATACGAGTAAGGCCCTAGTCTTATAAAATGTTTAACTATCTCTTGATGTAAGACACTTACATGTGTTATTTGCAACGACGCCTTATAAAATGTTTAACTCTCTCTTCTTTCTTTAATGTGACACGTGTATTGTTGGGAAAGACGTCTTATAAAGTGTTTAACTATATTTTCTTTCGTTAATGTGAGACACTTACATGTATTGTTTGGGAAGACGCCTTATAAAGTGTTTAACTCTCGCTTCTTTCGTTAATGTGAGACACTTACTGAATTGTTTGCAAAGATGTCTTATAGTGTTTAATTCTCTCATTTTCGTAAGTATTCAACTCTCTATTTATTCGTTAATATGAAACACTTACATGTATTGTTTGGAAAGACGCCTTATGTATAGTGTTTAACTAGAATATCTCCTTGGCTATTAAACAATGAGATTCCATCTCAAAATCATATGACACACTTAATTTTTTATCAATATGAAACACTTATATGTATTGTTTAGAAGGATTACGGTTCATCACCATGTTACTACATCTATCGCTCGCTTGACACATTGAAAGTGGGGAAAAAAACCCTTTTGATTTCCCTCCGAACCACTGGGCCAAGGGTCAATAAATAAAGAACCTAAAGACACAAGAGAAATGTGGAGCTCTGGAAAGAAAGCAGCGACCTTTCAAGTTAAAAAATGTGTTTGGTCCCATTAAAATGTAAATAGAAGCTTATATATGAGGCAATTATGAAGAACAGATAAGCTGAAGACAGATTGATGGAAATGCAGATAGTCCTAGTACTTTCTGAATTTCTGAGACAGTTAACCATAAGATTTATAACTAGAGAGAATGTGCCATGCAACTTTCGTGCCTTTATTCAATGTGTTCCAGTTGCACCTGCCAACAAATTTTAGATTCGTACGGTTGATATTTCAAATGAAGATTGAAGAATACACGTACTGCCTTTCTTTTATCTCTTGTAAATAAATTGTTCAAAATTCAACCATTGAAGGACACAATTACAAGGCCTAATTTAAGCCAAAAGAACTTAGCTTAGTTTAACGGACATAGATCACAATATCAAATCTTATTTACGTTATTTGTTATTTATGACTCTCTATTATTCCCCTCCCCCCCAAAATCTTCGATTTAGTTTATGTATGAATTATTTATCTGTAGATGTGCACAATTTATAAATTTCAATTCTTGGCTTTCACGTGGAATTGTGGATTATCCAAAGATTTTAGATCAAATAATGGGCTTCTATTAGGATTCAAAGGTAAATAACAGGAGGGATAATTTGAAGTTATTCTAGAAAAATTGTCTTCTTTATTTTCCATAATTTATTTTTTTAAAAAATGTAATTTCTTTTATATACCTGTATACGGAGTACTATTTATCACATAACTATTTTTATATTTGAATTTCGAATTTTCAAATATCCAATTCAAGATAAATTTCTAAGCTAATCAATTGATGAATGCAACCTTTCATATACGTTATGTATAGCCTACTATGATATATTGAACACATTTTTTTACTTGCTAAATGGTCACCCAATGAATGGTAAAAAAGAAAGATATGGTAAATGTCAACTTGTCAAGCAACCTACTTCTTAGCTCAATTGGAATGTGACAAAATGATCACACAAATAATGACCTTGCGAATTAGATGGTCTAATCGCAATTATTTGTCGTACAAACATTAATATAAAAAGTTTTTAAAAAAATTACTTGCGTTTATGGCAAATCATTTGTCTTAAGAGGTTAAACTTATCAAATAATATGCTACGGAGTAATTTTTTTATTAGTGAGTGTATTGCCCTTCTCTATTACAATCAATGATAAAAACACCCGAGTTAGGCTTTTTACACCATTACAGAAAATAAAATTTTGGTATCTTTAATTCCCCAAATAGACATATTTTGGAACTTTCTAATTTAATAAAACATAATTACAGAAAACAAAAATATAAGGGTTCTTTTGGCGTTGCTGCGGTTTTCTGTTTTTTGTTTTTTAGAAGTATATGATATATGTCCCAAAATGAATCAAAAATTATTTAAATTAATTAAAAACATGATTATTTTGAAAACTGACAACAAAAAAGTGGAAACACCTTTTTCTTGTTTCCTGTTTTTGGTTTTCAAAAAAACAGAAAACTGAAAAACAAAAAATGATGCCAAACAAGCCCTATAATTGTACTTTTTACACCAAACTTTGAGACCAACAAGGAGTTTCTCCCTTGTCAAATCACCCTTGTAAGAAAAAATTACACAAAACAATCAACAAAAATCAAGATGTAGGTCAAGAGTAAAACACTAAAAAGAGATAAAAACACAAACAAAAGCCAAAAACAGAGGAAAAAGACAAGCTTCAAAACCCCTCAAATAAAACACTCTCACCCTTATTACTTAATTTTTCAGGGCCCCTCCTTCTCTCTCTCTCTACAGTTTATTACTACTAGAGTTCAAAGCAATGGATACCCTCAAATTCTATTTCATTGCTAACATAAAAGGCAATTCCCAAACTCTCAAAAACACACCCAAAAATGACTACTTTAGAAACAGAGCAAGAACAACAACAAACCCTTTCAAAAAGCAATAATCTTCTTTTTCTTGATTGTTTGTATTGTGAAGAGAAATGGTGGGATAATGATGATGATAATGAAGAGTATGATGATCATGATGATACTAGTGAAATTGGGTTGGCAAATTTATCACCATTACATGATTCTTCTTCATCTTCTTTAATTTGGTGTGAAGATGATGAAGAACAACTAAATTCTCTGTTTTCTAAAGAAGGAAAGACTCTTCTTAATGAGGGTGATTTGGGTGTTAATAAGTTATTATTGGAAGCTAGGAGAGAGGCTTTAGAATGGATGATTAAGGTTAATTATCACCATAATTTCTCTGCAATTACTCTGGTTTTGGGTGTTAATTACTTTGATAAGTTTATGTTGAGTTTTGGGTATCAAAAGGATTTGCCATGGATGACACATCTTGCTGCTGTTGCTTGTCTTTCTTTGGCTTCCAAGATGGAAGAAATCTATGTTCCTCTTCTCTTAGATTTCCAAGTAAGTTCTTTTTTCTTAGCCTTGAATTTTGAGTAAATAGTACTCTGTAAAAATGCTTAAACATATTCCAAATGGCTCAACATTAACATTAATGAATTAGTCTAATACTCTAATTTCATGTTAACAAGATAAAAATGACGAGTCTAAAATATGATTAGGGAGACATAGATACTTAGGAATTTTGTATAAATAATATAAATAAATACTCTATGAAATGTTTATGATTATTGTTAAAGCATTTATTTTAGTATTGTAATGTTTATGCCATGTGCCTATCTCATTTGTTAAGGGAAGAAAGAAAAAGGTGAAAAACATGTTAATAACATGACAAACTTTTGTATAACAATTAGACCATTACACAATTTATTAGGCTGATATTTTACTGACACCTTTAAAGTTTTTCACATATTTTAAAGACTATTAACTAATAATGTCTTACAACAAGCTATTGCTTAATAGTCTAACAAGCTAATTTTGTTTTAGGCTTAGCATTTTTCCTAGTAGTACAAATAATTGTGTCTTATGATTTATGAATTATGTATGATTGGTGTAGGTAGAGCATGAACAGATATTTGAAGCAAAGGTGGTTCAGAGAATGGAGCTGTTAGTGCTTTCAACACTCGATTGGAAAATGAATGCTGTGACCCCACTTTCCTACTTTGGACATTTAATAAGGAAGCTCAACTTAAAATCCCTTCTTCATTGGAATATTTTAACAAGTTGTGAAAACCTTATTGTCTCTGCCATTCTTGGTAAGCACTATGCATCATTTTTTACCTACTAAACTTTAGTCATTGTTCTATTATAAGGACTATTACAACTTGTGTGCATAACCTTAAACGTCGTTCATTTGAATGCAGATCCCAGGTTTATGTGCTATGTTCCGTCCGTCTTAGCAGCAGCAAGTATGGTGCAAACCTTGAAAGAAATTGGACTATGGAATACACTAGAACACCAATATGATATCATGGATACCTTGAAACTTGACAAGGTTTTGCATCAATCCTCCCCTAAAAAAACCTTTTTCTTTTAATTTTTTAAAAATAAAATCTCTTAACAATCTTACACATTATCATTGCAGGTCAAAGTAGAAGAGTGCTACAATTTCATCCAAGAATCATCAAGCAAACGAAATCGAAATGATTTATCAGCAAAAAGAAGAAGTTTATCAAATAATAATGTGTTTGATGTAATATGTAGTGAGAGTTCTAGTAACAAGGATTCACCAACAATATCTTTGATGCAACCATCTGAACCTCTACCAAAGAAATGTAGGACAATGGGTCCCCCTTGTTTTGGGTAGTCTTGCACATGTCCAACTACCAAACTTCACTTTCCTTGAAACTTCCATTTGTTGGACTACCTTCTTAGAGACTTGGAACTTTATCCCTACTTGAAAATTTTGTATCACCTTTACCTAGCATTGATGTTTTTAACCATGCATATGTTTGTTGGACAATTCTCTACAAATAATCCTTTCTACTACGAGTACAAGAAGTTGATACTACTTGAATCCTACTATATGAGTATCAATACGACGATTGTACCACTCGAGTTGTCACTCAAAGCCAAGACAGGGCACGTTCGATATATATCAGTCTGTTTCAGTTTTTGGTTTTAAGTTTTTGAAAGTTGTTTGATAAACCAAAGAGTAGTCATATTTATATATTGATCATATCGACTAATCATTATAGACTGAAAGCAATCAAACAAAGACCACCAATCTAGTTATATGATAGATTCTAAATCAGTTTGGTTTGAGAAACTAATACTTGATTCCAATGATTATATTTTATTTGCAAACATTCATTCATTATTAATCATCCTCAATAGACTGACTGAGGCATGCCTTTAACATGAATTATGTACATAGTTACATACAACACATATTTGCAATAAAGCTTCACTCAATAATCTAAAATAAACAATTGGAAATCGAAGACGGATATATCATGCCTAGGTAGTTATATTGCTGGTAAGCCAGTCTAGACCTTCATAAAGCCCTTCACCAGAGGTAGCACAAGCAGCCTGTATAAACCTGTCATTTAACATATCGATACACTATTATTAGCCCGTCTAACTGTTCAACGCATATATGGATATAACTACTTAATTTGTGTAACAAAAACCTAAGAATTGTACGAGTTTTAAGAATGAAAAAAAAAAAAGTTGGTTAAGTCGTCAGATAAATATGGAATGGAAGGAGCAGTTTGCTATCGTAAGGAAAGGGTTAGAAAACTATACCAGCGGCGTTGACGAAGGGAGTGGAGGCCAAGTTTATCAGTAATCTCAGCAACAGGCATTGCATTTGGAAGGTCTTGCTTGTTGGCAAAAACTAAAAGAGATGCATCCCTCAGTTCATCCTTCAGCAAAAGATATCAGCCTCAGTTAAGACTAATAACAAAAATTGGATCATGTTGTAAAAAAAAAAAGAAAAAGGATGGGCCAAAGAACATGAAAGCCCAACAAAAGCCTTGACTAAAAGGAATTCTGAGCCCAGCCCAATTAAAAATAGGGAGTTTGAAAAAGTACCTCATTTAGCATCCTGTGGAGCTCATCTCTAGCTTCTGCAATTCTTTCTCGGTCGTTACTGTCCACCACGTAGATTAGACCTTGGGTGTTCTGGTAGTAGTACCTCCACAAAGGCCTGATCTGTTGTCACGTTGTACAAAAATAATAAAATTACTAAGGCGTCGATGATTTTCTTAACATACTACACGAGTTATTTTAGCTAATGTATTTTAATTTGATCTAATAATAAAAGAACGCAAGCCACAAAACAATAACATAACCAGGTTACACGAAGGTGGTGTAACGTGTTCATATCAAGAAGTCGTTTAAGACTAGTCGTACCTTGTCTTGGCCACCAACATCCCAAACAGTGAAGCCTACATTTTTGTACTCCACAGTTTCCACATTAAACCCTGTTCAATATATACAAACATAAACTAAATTAAATCTTAAATCAAATATGTTAGGCTATTCAATCTCTAGAATCATAACAAATCATAAAACCAAGCTAATTCAACCATTAAACTTGAATTTGCCACTTTTATTAATCCATAAACTTATAATAAACTCTTGCTTGATTGAGTTTTAAACCTGACTCTCCCACACAACTATATTTAAGTCGATATATGTTCAAACTCTCTTCCTACACGAAACACGAGTGAATGTACACGCAAGTGACACAAAAACACCAAATCTGATATAGACAGAATGATCACATACCAATAGTGGGGATAGTAGTGACAACTTCACCAAGTTTGAGTTTGTAAAGGATGGTGGTTTTACCAGCAGCATCAAGACCCACCATTAAAATTCTCATTTCTTTCTTTGCAAACATCATCTTTACTAATTTCGATAGTGCTACCCCCATCTTTGCTTCAACAATCTCTCAAATTTTTCAAAATTTCAAAAAACTAGAAAAAAAAATTGTACTAGTTCTTTTTGTTTTTTAGGAGAAGAATCCAATACAAGAACAGATATAAAGAGAGATCGAATAAGGTTCGGCTTTAGGACGTGATCAAATTGTGAATTTGGTTCTATGCTTTAATACTATTTGCAAGCTATATTTATCTTATTTTATTATTGACCTAAGCAGAGGAATTCTTTGGTGGGGCCCTTAGTAGTATCGCATGACATGTATTCGCTTATAGTTTTACAACATACAGCCAATAACAGATTCTTAATTGTCCACGTAATCAAAGTAAAATGATATAAGGGGTCAAAAAATAAGTTTAGTAATGGACATGGAATTTTAAGATTGAACCACTCTTGGCTACACGCCTACACATCCTTAACGAGGAAGTATTAGAGAAATATGTAAATACCAAGTATAACTTTTCACTTTGTACAAATGATGAAATATATACTAACTAGTTATTGGCCCGGACGATACCCCGCTTTATTATAAATTTAGTAATTTAATGAAACTATACTATGGCCTTATTTGACACCTAGAGCTCAGATAGTGTGTGTCTGTGTGTGTGTTTTTTTTTTAAAGATGAGATGTTAAGTACGTAGTTAGTTGTTTGTGTGAGCTAGTTGGTTTGACTATAATTTTTGTTTTTTTGGTTAATATAGAAAAAATAATAAATCAAATATTTATAATTTTGATGTCAATATATACTACTTCGTATTAATTATTGCTCGTACTCTATAACTACAATTTTATGAATTAATGCACAAAAAATGGAGTAATGATTAATTTCTTACAAATTATATTATTGTGCAATTACTAAGGATTTCAAGGGGAATTTAAATTGGGGGTTACACATATATGAAAAACCTTTCAATCAAATTATATTATTGTGTAATTATTAAAAATAAATTTAGATAGAGTAGTGGTTATACATACGAAGAGTTTTTCAATCAATTTAACATCAATACTTGGAGGTTAAACCAATGAAGAGTTTTTCAAGAACACTAAATATTACACTTCGATTATGTGGCAATCTTGGAATATGATGTGGCGCAATAAAACGTAAAAATGACACATGGCGTTACAACACTCCTTACCTTGGGTTTTAATAATAATATAGATATAGATTACAGAAGAAGAATAATTTGCATATATTCTTTACAAGTATCAATAATTCACAATCATTATGTATTAAATTTAAAAGGTTCCAGCTTATTTATTAAGAAGGATATTTTATCTAGTGATTTTCCAAAAAGATACATACTCCGTAGCATTTAGGTTTAATGATTTTGCCCATCTCTACGACGGGGTTATCATAGCAATGATTGATAAAAAAAATGTACAGATGTACCATTATAAGAAAGTTAAACGTCAGATCATATAAGCTGTGATACAAATATGAACTTACATACTACATGAAAATTGACCTCCATTAAGCAATGCTATAGCATGTACAAAACCTAGCTCCCCCTATTTGAAAGGGTAAAAAACAATTTCACATTTGTAATTTCTTAGCTAACAAATACTAAGAACTTGCACTAATGATTTTTACTTCCAGATATGGCTTCTTTTGCAGATTGGAGAGTGTTAACAACAACAGCACCGGCCCCGGACAAGACACTACCACTGCTGGTGGCTGGTTTTTCTGGCTGGTGAAGATGGTGAATCACCTCAATAAACCTTTGTTGTTCCCCTTGCCCTGCAGATTGACTTAGATCAACTGTCTCCACCACTTTCACCTCTGATGTGTTTTGTGGCTTAGTCTGCTGGTTATTCTGTTCATATGCCCAAAATAAATATATTAGCACTAGATCATAACCTACCAATAATCATTTTCTTAAAACCTTACATAACCGAAGAAAAGAACAATGTCATAAACCCATAAATAGGATTATAAAGAAGATAATGCGACACGTAGTTGTACCATCCTGAATTATGAAGTTTGATTTGAGAATAATAAACATATACTTCGTAGAAGAAAGGGTGATAAAGATGTCAAAATATGAAGATATATAGTGGTTTTTTTTTTTTTTTTTTTTTTTTTGATTTTTTTGAGCTAATATATAGTGACTTCTTTTTATAGCTGTTTTCTGTTCTACTGTTACGGGTCTTTCTTTGGAAGCTGTTTTGTAGGGGAGAATTGCGGACATGTAAACATGTGTTTCATTTAACACTGATTTTTTTTCCCAATATGTGCAATATCGATAGACCATACTAACGTCAATATCGTTGAAGATCCAAGACAAGCATTTGAGGCATCCAAGACCCAACTTAGAGCATTGTGTAGTACTTATGCATTACCTCTACACATTGGCTCATGGAAGATGGAAATACAGAGTAACGCAACCTTCTCAATTATACGGTTATACCCAAGATAGGAGGATTTATATTCTACAGTATACAGAACTGCTTTTGCCTTTCTTACTGAGTTAATGCAACCAGAGCACCTGTCAAAAACAGTATTGCAACAAGAGCACTGTAGACATAGTACAAAAATCTTGGATATTAGACGAGGATGGACAGCCACTACAATCGAGTATTCAATGATACATCCAAATAAACAAATATTAGGTTTTCAATAAAGTCATAATAGGAATAAAGTCTTATAAGATGATACAAATACTATACTTGGACTGAATTTTAAAAATATTTGAGCAACAAAATGACTCGAGAGCACTTCAGAGGTTTTAGCTAAACAAAAATTTTGAACTCAACATATTTCCACCTCTATTATGTACCAGAAAAAGACATTGGTATACCATGTAATTTGACAGACAACATCAGGGCTCAAACCAGCAATAGACCGGTAGTCTAGAAAGTCGATAATGGTGATCCATTTTGAAGCACATTTGAAACATCCGAGAGTCTTTGCCTAGGAGACAATGTAGCGCTGGCAGCAACATCAACATCAAGGTTGTCAATGGTCTTTCTCTTGAGTGTTTCCAACTTTAAACCATCACCTGAATTCCCAGCATCTGGACTCGGTGACACCACATGCTTCTGAGTTAGCAACGCTTGAGCTTCTTCTATCACTGATGCATTATCATCAGTAGCATACAAAATTTTCTTTATCGCTTCAACAACCTGTCAGAACAATCATTAGAAATTCCTGGATTGTTTACAAAACACTATACAATATATAATGTGAAGAGTTGGCTCAAAAGAAGTTTGATTTACAGGCTGATGTTCAAGCTCTGGACTTTGGCATAATATCTCGACATCTCTCAGCTTTGCAAAGTAGAAATCCCTTTCCTTCTCAAGACTATCAACTGATAGTTTCAACTCAGTAATCTGCATAACAATTACTTAGTATATATGAAGTAATACTTTCTGAAGTGGTAAGGAAGTCCATCCTAGACTAAAGTGTCTTAATTTACTGCACATGCAATTATGCAACATACCTTTTCATCATATGCACCCACTTCATTGGAGACAGGTTGAGGTGCTATGGCACCTTGATTTGCTGCTTGCACAGAGGGGACATCAGCCTTCCGAGAGCTTTGAGTAGAATGAGACTTGGTTGCTGCCATTGAAGACTTAGTAGAAGGATGTGAAGCAGCACTTTTTTTGCTATTTTCCTTTCCTCCCTTACAAGCTTCTCTCCTTTCCGAAGGATTGTAACTAGTTCAGTAATATGAAAATTAGAAAAGAACAGCATAATCCATTGCACAAACAATATTTGAGGACATTACACTTGGCGCAAACAAAAAAAAGAGGTACAAGTTAATAGAGAGGATTAACTACCTAACATAATGTTCTAAGCACAGGACCCATTTGATATCCAAATTATCGTAAAAGAGCAAAGTGGATGAGACAAGCAATTAAGACAGCCGATTGAATATTTAACAAAGATTACTAGAACATAAAAATCATTCAAGAGAATTCTGATAAGGAAATTCTCAAAAGGTTTGGTATCCAGTAGTGTCATGAGTCAATGGCTATGAATAGGAAATTATAGCTAATGAAATTGGAGCATTCATGTTTAGGGGGAAAAAAATGCAAAAAGAGATCCTCAACAACTCACACCTCCTTATAGACTCATAGTTCTCAATTTCTCATGTATACTGTATTAGCTTGCAAGCTACCTATCTTCCCTTACAAAACTGAATTGTAAATTAACCCAAGAGTCAACATGAAGAGTTAAGAAAAACAACATCATGTTTTACCATGCAGCCATAACGTGTAAACTTCAGTCTTTAGAGCATTTGACTTGGTGCTTCATATATGGATAGGCAATGCAGAGACGAGTAAGTGCCTATCCATGTTTTAAGCACAAGACTAAGTTCCAAACTGCCGCAAAAGCATACTCAGATGAATGGTTCAAGCACATTAAAGCTAATGGAATTCCTAATTTAAATTATTGGAAAATGCATGATATTGAAGGAAACATGCATATTATAACAGAATAAAATCCTCAACAAGACATCGTCAAAGGTTATGACATCCAACGGTGTCATCAGTCAGTAGGTATAATTAGAATTTCCTAATGCAACTTGAGCAGTACATATTTATTTTAAAAACAAAGCAAAACGAAATCATCAATAATTAACACCTCATCCCTCACATAATACTACAATAGTATAATACCGCTTCCACCTACAGTATAACTATAAGATACAATCATGCAGATAGTTCAACAATAGCCAAAATCTGAGTACATTGGTATGATATTTGGTTTAGCACAAACCTATTCGCCACATTTGACAATTTTATATGGTTGTGACAGCAATTTCTCTTACTATACATATCAGTTAAAACTATAAAGAGTAATTTCAGGACAGAATTGAACATTTAATTTCAGTAACAGATAAATGTATGCATTACCTTCTTGATGAAATCAAAGTTGGACAAAAGAAAATTAAAGTCGAAGTGTTACAGATTTCATTCAACATCATTCAAAGTCACTTCATAAGACGAGCTATAATACTTGCAAACGCATCAAGCTATCCACGAAACAATTGATTTAATAAAACAATAAATGAAATGCCAATCAATTTAAACAAATGCTGGTGCTACTGATTCAATTGACAGAATTTTCTAAACGTAAACAGACGAAATTACTTGTTTGAGCTGCCATTGTTGACAGAATCACAGTAACGCTTCATCCACTGCAGGAACTCCAGATTATCCAGAGGTCTTCCCTTAGTGAGCTTATTCACCTCAATATTCTAATCATCAAAAAAAAAAAAAAAAAAAAAATCAACTAATTAAGCGATAAAATTGAAGAAACCCTAACATTTGAAAAAAAAAATATATCGCTAGAAAGAGAGAGAAACCTTGGAGATTTTGAGCTTGTTGAAAACATCTTGAAGAACTTTGTAATTCTGAATCATCTCATACTCGTTCTTCGCATCGAAATTCACCTTATGCATCGGCACTATTCCTGGATGTGCCGCATCCATCAGCTGACAATGAACTGCTCCACTGCACGCCTAATTTCTCGCAAATTGATAAATTAGGGTTTCAATTGTAAATTTCCAGGCAGAATTTCGAAAAAAATTGTTGAATATCACAAACAATTACGAAATTGAGGACAGAGAAGGAGAAAAAAACCTCTTCGACTTTGGAGATTTTGAGTTGAAGAGTAGAGTTAATCCAAGCAAGAATCTCCGATCTACCGACGAAATACGCAGAATCCATCATTCCGATTTTCGCCGCCATTTTCGATTTCTCTGCTAGAATTCTCCTACTAGAATTCTCTGGAATTTGTAAAAGAGAGATGATATTTGAATTAGGGGTTTTGGGCGGGATAATGGTGTAGATTATGAAACTGCCGTTGAGTGTCCGTTGTACAGTATTTATTAGGCTGTCAAATAGAAGTATAAATCAAATGGTTTTAAAATTTACTCTGATATTGGGCTTTGGAAGATGGACTTGTAGTATAAATATTTTTGGGCCTTTCTATGGGATCATGAAAAATTGAAACTGATGAGTTTATACAAAGGTCTTATTCTTTAGAGCTGCTCTGCAGGACCAAAGTTTGCGATGAAATTATAATTTATGTGATAACACTTCTCCACCTCATAAGTCCTCAAAGGCTCAATAATATGTGCTTTTCTTCATAAATAATTTGTTTACATAATTACTCATTATAGAATTTTAATTATGACAAGCTTATGCATATTGTTTTTTTTTCTTTTTAGAGAGCCACAATGGCGGGGGTGAGAATCGATCCCAAGACCTCCTAAAATCGGGAGGGAAGCCCTAACCACTTGAGCTATTCCTCACTCTCATGAATATTGATTCATGACTATGCTTTGGCCAATATGGTTGCACTATTATTGATATTGGAACAAGATTTTCGCATGATATATCATAATGATCGATCAACATCATCATCATTTATCAGCACGTCATTTATTGTCATCTACTTGTATGAAGTCTATTAACTATTAAAAAAAACAAAACATGGTGACATCATTAAGGGACACATGTCCATTTTTTATCAAAAATTTTCCCGCCTAAACTATTTTTTGACATCATCCTTTTTTTCTTTTTTTTTTCCTCCTAAATTCCGAAACTAATTAAATATAGTACTTTTTTCAAAATTAATTAATGAGATTATGAGCACACTTTTTTCGAATATAAAATTGAAAACTATTTAAATAAATAATAACTACTTAATCCGTGCAACGCACAAGACTAAACTAGTAGGACGTACAAAGTAGTTATTTTAGGCTTGAAATAGTTACCACTTTGGATGATTTGTACTTCCTGCGTCCGATAATATAGTTTCTGTTGGACTTAATGATTTTGATGATGACACAACCTCACTTACTTACAAACTAATAAGAGCTTGATTGTTTAAGTGTGTACTCAGTTACAAAGACTAGGAGAATGAAGTGTCTTGTAAGAATACCATGAGGAACAAGAAGGCCAGAAGCAGAGCTATCCATATAGAAGAGTTCCTTCACAGGAACTGGCGCTTCAGAAATGAAGACTGGTGAAGAGAAGGTTCCCTCAGGGAACAGAAGCTTCAGAGAAGAAGCCTCATCAGAGAAGAGAAGTTCCTCCCAAGGAACAGAAGCCTCAGAGTAGAAGCTTCATCAGAGAACATGAAGACTAAATATATTTATATATTTTAGGATTTATGTAAGTATAAGATATTAAGTTGCATTCGAAATACTGTGTGGAATTGGTCTAAAAAGATAATTTTGTGCTAGCTAATTTTTAGGGAAGTTGTTATTTTCTAAACGATTATCTTTTTTAACAAGAAAGAGGATTTTATTTTTATTTCTGATTTTACAAAGATCTTCTGAAAATAAAATCTCCATGTTTTTCAAAACTTGCGGCCTACTCCCCCATGTTCTTCTTCAGTCATGGTTTTGCACATTGAGGAGTTCATGGTTCCTTAATTCAAGGGACATGATCTTCTTAGTGGGTATGAGTAGTGGCGTGATGGATTTGCTGCACAAAGAGGTTTTCCAATATATTTATTGCTAAAGAGAAAGAGAAGAGAGAACAGAGAAGTGAGAAGAGAGAAAGAGAAGAGTAACAAGTTGGGTGACTTGTTCCTCAGGGTCTCAAGTTCGTAGAGGAACTTGAGTTTGTGTGTGTAGCTTGTAATAGGATCATTTGCCCTATTATAGTGAAGATTCTTTTCCCAAAATCCCAAGTGGTCGTGGTTTTTCTCCTTGTTAGGGCCAAAGAGTTTTCCACGTAAAATCTCTCTTGCATTCTTTAGTTCCTTTAGTCACTAGTAGAAAATATGTAATGGCAAAGCGGTTCAAACCCCCTAATGGGAAGCGGTTCTGAACCACATGTTTTTAGGGGGCTTGCCATTAGCCTTTTACATGGGAAGCGGTTCAGAACCGCTTGCCATTTGTAGTGAATGGGCAGCGGTTTTGGCGCCAAATCGTTGCCCATTATGGCTATAAAAAATATTTTTTTTTGGTGTTTTTCACTAAAATTGTTACACGAACAAACTATATGTAAAACCAATAATATTTAGATAAATTAATTGATTGTTGTAACTTGTAAGTATTACATTTCATAAAAAAAAAAAAAAAAATTAATACAAGTAATAAAAATAATACAACAACTTGATTAAAAAAAAAAAAACAACAGCTCTTGTTCACATGCACCACCACCACCACCGTCCACATGCACCACCACCACCACCGTCCACGCACGCGCACCACCACCATCCACCAAATCCCAGCCCGCTTCGCCTAACACGACCCCCACCATCCACCAGATCCCAGCCCATTCGCCCACCAAGACCCCCACCAAAACCCCCACCATCCACCAGATCCCAGCTCACTTCTCCCACCACAACCCCCACTAAAACCCCCACCAACACCAGATCGGCCTGAAACAAACCAATTCAACCACACATCTCCATAAAATTAAAAAAAAAAAACTTAAAAAAAAAATACCATGAATTCCACCATAACCTCGAAATTGGCTTGAAATTTGGGTTTTAAGGGTCAAATTCGACCAAGAAAACTCTAGATCTAGAGTTTTTATGGTCGAATTTGACCTAAATAACTCAAAAATGATGGTCTTGGCTCGAATTTGCTCGAAAATGATGGTCTTGGCTCGAATTTGCTCGAAAATATGGTCGTGGGTCGAATTTGATCGAAAATGATGGTCGCACCACCACTGGACTGAGAAGCGATGAAAGTAAAAAAATGGAGATGGAGAACGGAGATGAGAGAAGAAAGAGAAGGAGATGGAGGAGAGCTGGAGAGAGAAGTAAGGGCGTGAAAATGGAGGGGAGGAGGAGAGAGAGCGTGAGAAATAGAGAGGAGGAGAGAGAGCGTGAAAACTGAGGGGAGGAGGAGAGAGAGCGTGAGAAATATAGAGGAGGAGGAGAGATAGCGTGAGATTTTAGGGTTTTTTAAACAAATGGCAAGCGGTTCATGTTCCAAACCGCTTGCCATTTACAATTTGGCAAGTGGTTCCCCCTAAACCGCTTGTCATTTACAATTTGGCAAGCGGTTCACCCTAAACCGCTTGCCATTTACAATATTGCAAGCGGAATTCCAAAACCGCTTGCCATTTGGGGCTTCCCATCACGTTTATTCTACTAGTGAGTTAATCTTTCAGTTCCTTTAGCTAACTTAATTTTAATTCCGCAAAAAGTTTGGCTAAATTCTCATACTACAATTCAACCCCCCCCTTCTTGTAGTATTCTTTAAAACAACAGTTTCTGTTCGTGTTTTGTCACGATATTTAAGAAATAGGAGGAGAAAGTAGATAAAGTACATTAATAAAAGTGAAACGTACATACAATTATAAATAAAAGTTAGAGAACGAAAGTACAAAAAAATACAAAGCATGTGCAAAATTCAAGAGAAAGTAGAAAAGTAGAAAAAGTACAAGGAAGTACAATGAATAAAGTAAATATATATATAATGATTTGTACATATTATCCAAAAATAAAAATAGGAACAACATTTTGAGTCTCTAAAATAGAAAAGCAGGAATTATATTATGGGAGGGAAAGAGTAGTATTTCTAAGAAGACAAGTCATAAAGTATAGATACTATCAGACCATTTAAGGTACTTATAGAATTCACAAGGATTATAATCAAGGAAACCTCCTCTAATGCCAAAATTAGAGTTTATAACAAGTTCTAGTCAATAATTATACAAGTTATAGCAAATAATTATACCATTAGGTCTCAAGTCTTGTCATTTACATTGGGTCACTTGTACCTTTAAAGGGGCATCGTGGGCTCACTTAATACAAGGCCCATGATTGGATTGTGATTTTGGCACTAGTGAAAGATAATCTTCACTTAAAAGTCCAAAGAAAGATGGCATTGATATGATTTATGCAAAAAGCCAAAACTTTAAAGAGAGGATAAATATACAACGTATACAATTAATTTATATTTCAAATCCTTATACTTTGACCTCAATTTGTAAGACAAATTATTATAAAGGGACCATTAAAGTACCTTTTGAATATTACTTCCAGACAAATAATAACAAATATAAGAGTAAAGAGTTGATGACAAGAATAGGAGTCCATTAATTATATTCTCCAAATATATATTTTAGACTATTCCACAAAATAATGACAAGTACGTAATTTCTTAGATACAAATATACAATACGTAACCGCAGTTAGCTAAGAGGAAAAAATAAACAAAAAGACGATCAATGGCATTACGCAACAATATCTAATAATGTTGGTAGCTAAGACTATGATGAAGACAGTTACAGCACAAAAGTAACAAAAGCAGATAATTAGACAAAAAATAAACTATCTGATGAAGTGATAATTAAACAAAAGACAAGAAATTTTAAAAAATGTCAATCATACATACAACGTAACACTTTCAATTTATCTCTAAGTAATCTACAATGCTTTGTCAGCCATACATTAGTACCAAGCAACAGTTAAGGACCATAATAATATGGTGGAGGAGTTGGTGGTGAATTTGATGTTATTTTTTCTAGAACGTGGAGGGCTTCTTTCATTGATGGTCTTTTTTGTGGCACATGTGAAATACAATTGTACCCTAACTTTAAACAACTTAACAATGCCTCCTCATTACCTTCCAAGTCACCTCGAATCGTGGGGTCCGCCATCCGGAGCATCCGTGTTCGATCCTCCAACCCGACTGCCAATTCGGCTAAAACGGGTGGACCATACTCATCCGATATCACAACCTTTCCTGTTATTAGTTCAAGTAACACTACCCCGAATGAGTAAACATCCCATTTTGAGCTCGGCTTAAGGCTCCGTAATGATTCGGGTGGGTGGTACGGTGAAACGGACCCAATGGAGCTTGTACTCGGGCTTGGGGTGGCTCCCACTGAATAGTCTTGGAAGCTGTCCCTGGAGGCTGTGGATCTTTTGCTACCAAAATGACGGGTCGATCCGCCGGGTATGCACCCGAATTTACCCATTGAGA